AGAAAAAGTAGAAAAAAACGTCGGGCAGGGGCTTAGACAGGGACTCCCCCGGCCGTTTAGGGAGATGTGTGTTGGACGAGTTGTCCGAACCTGCCCGTAGTACATGCGCTCCAGTTGACTGCTGGCAAATAGCCATGCATGCTTGCAAATACATAACTATTTGCCAGCAATCGAAATTGAAGCGCTTCAATTGCGTTCTTATGGAATCGACCTCATACAGCGCGGCGGTCCCGCAACGACCGCTAGTCGAGCAAGCGCTCTGCACAGCGTATGTTGGGCGATCCGCCTCTTTATGGGTGATCCGCCCCCTCCAAGAGGACTTCGACCCCTTCCAGCGCATTTTAGAGGTAGGTTTTGAAATTAAAGACATTTCCTATAAACTTTAGTTGGGCTGGGGCATGTTTTGACCGCCTAATGACCAAGTAGTTGAAACCCTGCCTGGACTGTTGCTTTAAGTGCAACAAGGGACAGGAGTCAACCTGTAGGTCGGGTGGACCGCAGTGGTGATTTTTTTTTCTAGTTTCTGCATAGAAGATAAGAGACATTTTTGCAGCGAATATTGGTATCCACGGGTGGAAAAAGGCAATACAACGACTCGATGGAACCATCAAGTGTACATAATGTAGATGCGCTTGCAATTCTAATGATACCTTACCCGACCCTAGAAGTTCATTTTTACGAAAATCGCCCGTGTTTCAATCCTCACTGGTTTTTAGGCACTTTTTTCGAGCGAGCGAGTTTTCGAGACTTCATGTAGATTATAACTTACTTCGCAGTGGTTTGTGGGGAGAATGAAGCGATCCGCTGGGAACAAGGAGATTTGTACATTTTGATAGACGGAGGAATTGTTTTGCAGAATTACACATTTGGAAAATTTCTTTTGTGGATATTTCTCTTTTGACTCATGAGAGCAGTCCCCCATATCAACGCACTTCTTTGCTCTGCACCTCTTATAAGAAATCTGGATTCCACCAATGCAATCTCTTCGCTCATAATAAAATCGAACTTGCAAGCGTTTAGCGCGCAACTGCTCATCCGGGATGCGCCACACACATCAGTGGTTTCGAATAGGAAAACCACTTGAAAAGCTTTTTAATCTAGCTATGGCTTGAGAATGCCAGCCACACTGTTTTGAGATGTGTTACTGTTGAAGCCTAACTAGAGGATACAAACTCTTAATCCTTACCCTTTTCCACCTTCGCTTATGAGGAATGTTGATACCGTCACGATTCCAGCTGCTGGCCGCTGAATTTACGAACCTTCACCTTCCCGGCAGTTAAATACGGTTCCCTTACAGCAGGGTGAATAACGGTCGAGGAAATTCCTCGACCATGGCTCTCTACTGTGCGAGAGTAGTGTCGAGAGTGAATGTACGCGCGGAGAGCACAGACGGCTCGCGGGTGGCGAGAGTGAATATCCGCGCGGGAGAGCGTGACAAAACAGGCGAAAATTCCTTCGAATTCGTCATTCATTCGAATTCGACGAGCCGTTGCTGTTTCCTCAGCCGATTTTGCCCTGCCTCGCAGGATCGGTGGACGAACGGTTGATCGTGCTCAACATACTTCTTTTCCGCTCGCATTTTCTTTCCAAATTGGCCGTCGAGCAGGGGGCAATTATGAATATGAGAATGGTAAATGTTCTAAATTTGTGTATTTTATGCTTCCATTGTGAAAATTCCGCGAAATTCGGTGAGACCCATCGGAAGCGATCCTCCACCACGCGCAGCCCCTCGACATCCGCCATCACAATCCTATCTAAAAATCTCGCATACGACTCACTCTGGTATGTTTTTGGACGGCTGTTCTGTTGGTAAATGATTGGTGGGGCGTAAGGGGTCAACCCGACGTGGAGAAGGAAAATGTATGCACCCTACTGCAGTACGTAAGGATAATTTGATGTTGTTGATGGCGCGCAACCCAACTCCTTTGCACTTTACATTAATTGAATTGTTGGCATAGCTGCTTACCCATGGAAAAAGAGAAGCAATAAAACAGTAAAGAGGTCAACAGAAAAGTCAGTAACGAATGAAATGAATTTCGATGATGAAGAAATGGTGCCGGTTACTTACCAGTGCTTTACAGCAGTGAAATGAAAATTTGGAAATCTAGCTGTTGATAAAGTTTTCCACACTATCCGGCTGGATGTATAACATCAACAGTTTTTGCACTACTGAAGCAGTATAATCCCAGAAACCCGAAAAGAAAAACACCACGAAACTGCCAATCGGTAACGAATTTGGAATTTGCGGTGCAACACAGGTGTTGCGCCAGCTTCCTGCAACATTTGTTTTCACCCAATTCGCCTAAACCATGCGCAGAGATCATCCAGTGCCCTGTCCACTAACATTGACTCCTTCCTACCACAATTTTGGGCATAATATTTGGGACAAACTGGCGCCAGAAGTCAGTGTCGTCATCAGCACACTAAGTTACCAATGCAGAACGAAGATTCAGCGAGATATTTTTCGCTTGGGTTCCACTGATGAAGGCACCTCCGGTTGTGATACTTGAGTAGTGCCTTTCTTGAGAATTTAGCTTACGATTAGATTACCGTGACTCCCCTCTGCTCCCAATCATCAAATACAAGAGAGATTCTTCAGCAGGTTCGTAAACCACCACCATTACACTGGGGGCATGATAAGAGAGCACGGTTGGGCGTACAAACGACCTCCAATCTTATACAGCAATAAATACTAATTTTCAAAATAAACGAAATTCATTGGCAGATGCCCCCAATATTCAAGAATTCTACCGATGTCAGAACTTACATTTGGTAACAAGACGGCACCTCACAAAAATTATAAAACCAATGGAATTAGATTAGTGCATTCATCACAAAGTATAGCTGGACTATCGAAAACGTGAAAATTATTGTTTATTTCGAACTCAACAACATGAGAAGAAAGTCATCTTGAAAACAACGACGCAACCGCCTTTAGATGGTAAGTTCGATGCTGCAGATAGCCCGCTTACTGAAGTGGCCAATACCTAAATTGCATTCAAGGCGGTTACCCATACATCAGAAACCAGCTCCCCACCAGAAGCGGCCTGTTCAGATGGCCTGAAGCTGCTTCGAAGGGACAACTCGAGTGGTGCAACGCTCGCTCGAGCAGCTTGCAGAACATTGAGCAAGTCCTGACCGCCACCGAAATGATTAAAATTTCACAGGATCAAAGAGGCATATTACAAAGTGATATGTAAATCTGTCATGAAACCAACAACTTCGGAACCTAATAAACAATTGAAAACACCGGAACAACAAGTAATTATAAAAGATGCTACTACTACACAACTACGAAAAAAAACTATTCAAACTTGATTCCTTGGGCAAGTGGGAGATCCTTACTGAAGTTGATGGTGCATGTCGATCTAAAGAAGCACATTCAATTCACTAATATGTATAACACCGCCAAAAAGTACCACCTATATATTACAAGTGTCAGCAGTATTACCTATCTACACGGTTTTCTGAAATACAAGATAGCCACAGAAAATGATCGGGATCCTAAATTCATGTAATGGTGCATGCAAGTCCGAACTTGGCAAATTTGGAACGACTCAGTTTGAAACGTAATAAAGGATTACAAAAGCAGCGTCCTCCCAAAATCAATTTTTTGACAAGACATCTGCAAAGCCCGTTTCCTACTTGAATAAAGATCTTTGCTTAGTAAGCGCCGACTGTCCCAGAAGAGCATGGGTAGCTGAAATAATATGAAGTAAAAACAGTCCAAGAAGCACCCAGCTTTGTATAATATGAGACAAACAAACAAGAGCTAGGCTTCTGTCCCCACATAGCTTCAGTTTGAAACAGTTTATCTTGCTCTCCTTCGAATCTTAAGAAAGTGGACTTTTGAGCCGGACCAAAAACCTCTACATAAAGTTAATGTTAGAAAAGAGATGGTTAATAAACGAGACCAAGGGTTCAAGAAGGTACAGAATTTTAACACATTGCGGACCGCCCGTTTATGAGCATCTCCGTATACGTATTTTCGATCTTTTCAAAACCCAATCATCATTAATCCATCAACAATTTTATCAGTGATGACACATATGCTTTCCAGGCTCTGAAAATGAGTGCAAGCAGTTCAGGAGCATTGAAAAATGCCAAATAAATCAGACAAACTGTGCTTTTTCGTGTGAGCGTGCGCCACATGGTGGTGCACGCGGTACGCAATATGTTAAGCGGAGGCCTAATAAGTGATCAGATTGAGAAAGGCGATGAGATTCAGCTTTCTCTAAATCATCTCTCAGTGGCCTAGATAGAAGACTGAGGCGCGTCCAGTTCTGAGCGCCCTATCTTAAAATATTCTGGAGAGCCAAAGTTTTTTTCACTGTCCCAAACATAACAATAGCAGATTGCTGATTCTTGTTGTGCGACAGTGATTACACTTGACTGAATTTCAGGTCTTGGAGAAAGAGGGAAATTTCGTTCTTCCTACAATCATCACTGGCCTTCCCCACGATTCCCCCATAGTATTGCGGGAGACGTTTGCACCCATTCTATACGTTATCAAAGTGAATAATCTGGATGAGGCTATCAAGTACAACAATGAGGTTCGTGAAGTTTCTCGGTAAGATTCTGGCTCACTATTAGTTGAGAAAGCTGTCAAATTTCAATTCTGTGAAATATCTTTGTTATTTGCTATGAAGGTTGCATTATTAAATGGTAATCCAATAATCGATTGGTGTTTACCTTTTGACAACAACTCATATTTCACGTGGCGACCGTGTGGGTCTAGCACACTTTTACTGAACTTTCGCTCAATTTGGGTAATTTTTCCCCAAGAGATAGTTACTCTGTTGAAGTTTTGATTAGCTTTTAATCCGCCTTGACAGTTCTACCTCTGACGTACATCCATTATTAGGGTCCAGAAAGGCGTCTATTTGAATATACTGCTGCATCGTTGCTGGAATGCAACATTGCTTCTCTACTAAATAAACATACGCATGCTTTTCACAAGTGTCCGCCTGTAGTCGAATAGTACACGTGGAAGTTGTTCTTGTTCTGGCGCGGCTCAGATTGGTTTTTTTGAGGCGTCATTCACAAGCTCAGCCGAATTTTATTTGTTTTAGGCGTCTCAAGGACTGAGCTCATCTCTCTTTTACCAACAACATCCAGAATGTCTTCAAGTGGATGGGGTGCGTTTTTTTTTTGTTTTAATGATGAAATCGGGACAAATCGGGTGTTCATAAAAGAGAAAGATGGCAGTGGGGAGGTTATGGGTGTCCAAGCAGAAGGTAGCTGGCAGTGGAGGGGTTAGGGGGTGTCCAAGTAGAAAGTAGCTGGCGCTTTCGCGACAAAGGCACCTAACAGTGTGATGGGGAACGAAAGGAACCTCAACAGCTTTTCCCGTTGAACTGAACGTCTCCCCGTGCGTAGATCCTACTATATATAATGCGCTATGTCTGTCTGTCCGTCTGTCACGAAATTCGGTATCAAGCGAACAACAACCTACAGGGTCCAGGTCAAGTTTGGGATGGGTATACCATATCCCTAGAAGTAAAAAACACACATCAGCCAAGCGGAGCCCCGCCCACAGTGGGCGTGGCGTGCATCGGTTGATTTCAAATTCAGTCACAAAACAGCCTCGAGACCGGGACAAAAGTGGGCATAGGTGTGGGTTGGTAAGCCAGATCGAACTGAGGAGACCCACCCTCGGTGGGCGGGGCGTTCTCTAGAAAATGGGTGCTCAGTGAAAATATTCATAACTCGGTTAAGAGGAAGCCTACAGACCAGGAAACGAAATTAGTGCAGGGGAGCAATGCCTAAGGTATTTCCACCACGCATGATGTGAACGGAGGCCCGGAGGGCGGGAAGAACATGATCAGGGTGGAGGGAGGCCCGCCCAATGGGCGGAGCGTGTCGTGAAGCGGACAGCATTTTCTACAAGAGCTCATAAATCGGCTCCGAGATGACTTAGAGACCGGAAAACAACGGATAGAGGTCAGGAGGGGAGGGGAAGCTAAATGTCAGGGATGGGCGTGGCTTACATCAAAGTGGGCGGAGTTTGCAATTAGGCTTATAACTCGGTTCCTAGGAGTCCCGGAGTCCGGGAAAAAAGCGTATGAGGGTTGGCAGAGGGAAAGGGGTCAACCGTTGTTGGCGGGCGGAGCATGCACCAAAGTGGGCGGGGTTTGCCACGGTACTTCATAACTCGGTTCCAATAAGTTCCAGAGATGGGAGAAAAGTAGAAAAAGGTTGGGGAAGAGATGATAGCCGACTGATATCAGTGGGCGACCCACGCACCAAAGTGGGCGGGGTTTGCCACAAAGATACGTAGCTCGATTTCGTCCCCTACAAGACCTCATAATTCGGCTCCGAGATGACTTAGAGACCTGAAAAAAATATGCCAGAGGTGAAAGTAGGAGTAGAGGTTGAATGTGAACGCTGGGCGTGGCACACCCGGATGTGGGCGGAGTTTGCCACCGCTCTCATAACTCGGTTCCTAGAAGTTCCGGCGACCGGGGAAAATGTGCATAAGTATTGAGGTATGGAGTAGGGTTGAATGCCATTGTTGGGCTAACCATGCACCAAAGTGGGCGGGGTCTGCCTCAGAAATTCGTGACTCATAACGCCATTTACAAGACCTCATAATTCGGCTCCGAGATGACTTAGAGACCTGAAAAAAAATACGCCAGAGGTGAAAGTAGGAGTAGAGGTTGAATGTGAACGCTGGGCGTGGCACACCCGGATGTGGGCGGAGTTTGCCACCGCTCTCATAACTCGGTTCCTAGAAGTTCCGGCGACCGGGGAAAATGTGCATAAGTATTGAGGTATGGAGTAGGGTTGAATGCCATTGTTGGGCTAACCATGCACCAAAGTGGGCGGGGTCTGCCTCAGAAATTCGTGACTCATAACGCCATTTACAAGACCTCATAATTCGGCTCCGAGATGACTTAGAGACCTGAAAAAAATACGCCAGAGGTGAAAGTAGGAGTAGAGGTTGAATGTGAACGCTGGGCGTGGCACACCCGGATGTGGGCGGAGTTTGCGGCGTAAGTAAGATGTACCGAGCAGAAAGCTAAAATCAAGACAAAAATACTGATGGGCCCGATTTTACCGCTGCAGCCCCGTCTCATGCACGCGAATGCGTGCGCAGCCAAACTGGTAATAAATAAGTGGTATATTCTATGTTATACATTTTTGCATGTTTGACTTTCAGAAATCTTTAGTTTTCAGACCAAAGGGAAGTGACTGTGGCATAGTGAATGTAAACATACCGACATCTGGTGCAGAGATTGGAGGAGCCTTCGGAGGTTGAAAAGGAGACTGGTGGTGGTCGCGAATCTGGATCTGATTCATGGAGGCAGTACATGAGGAGGTAATTTTTTGATTGAGAAATGTGTATTGTGATGTGGCCTACAATGCAAATTTATATTTTTTTGCTGCTTTCCCCATAAAAACAGGATATTTTAAGATAGGGCGCT